TGCCCCAGCGATTTTATTCTCATTTCAGAGCATTCCCACTCTTTTGTAACGGTCTATGGTTCTCTTTGTTGTAAAAGGAGAAGCGCGCATGTGTCTACATGTAGAAAATTTTCCTTCGAATTTTTACGAAAGAAACGTAAAATTATAGTATCGTCGATAGTCTAATTGGTACACACTCTGTAACTATGAGACTTTTCAAGTTATACAAATTTGGAGGACGTGCATATTCAAACTATGCGAGTTTCGAACTACGTATCATACAAATATATAAAAAAACAAACATATCAAACGTAACGACATTTAGTAGCTGCTATTTAGTGTCTATATTTTTAAATTACGTTCGTAAAAGTACGAATTTGCATAAACGTAGACTGTCGTAAATTTTATTACGATCAGCTCATGGTAGACGTGTATTTACATATTAATTGTAAGTAAAAGACTCCAACAAACACATTAAAATAACTATGTAGCGCGCGGAAATTTATTAACTCGGTGTAATTAAAGACATGAAAAATACAAAGGTGATTTTTAAATATAGTAATAGTATTTGTACATTATTGAAACAGTTGAGTAACATTTTTTCGTCTTATGAATTATAAATGTATTCATATTTCAGCGTTAATTCAAAGCACATGGACGATTAATAATAAATGCAGAAACTTTATACCGTTTGCTTACCTGAAAATAGATAGAAATTGTTTTAAACTGCACTTAAAATTTAATTACGTGTTCTTCAATCATCTTCCTGTAATCACTGATACAAAAATAAACAAAACGCATAGAACGTAAAATATTAAAAACAGTACCCGTTTCAATATTTAATAGACAGGACGAATCTCTGTATTTAAGCTTTGTTTCTTTAATTGTTTATATAACAATTTAAATTTGCATGAAAATCTACGGCCTAGTTGATACGGATCATATAGATAATCATATAATTAAGTATATAATTATATAAACATATATTTAAAATAAAAAGAATCTCTGCTCTGAATCTAATATTTCTGGCGTAATTGTCCATTGTCTTTCAACTTTTTCTAATAGTTCCCATAACTACTTTTCCGATTTTCAGCGTGCTTCTATTCTATAATATTAGGTTGGCAACTAAGTGATTGCGGATTTTGTCATTAGGTGGTAATGATAATTATATATATATCTCTCAATTGTGCCAGTGATTATGAAAGTGGTTTAGGTCAACAATTTAAAAAATCTGAGTTTATCATTTATTTTCATACACTACAATTACTATACGTTAATACAATCTGAAACCATCTTTGAGTTCCTTGTCGCGCGATTAAGCAGAATTCAGTTCATGCGTCAAACGCGAAACTTTAAATATCTTGAAAAATATATACGGCTTAAGCTAGTTTTATAATCACCGGCGCAATGGAAGAGCGTTTGTAGAAAATACCGTAGTCAAAGGTTATTTCAGGGCGACAAGTAAACATGTAGTTCACTTTCATGAAAAAGGAAAGCGTGCGTGTGTGCGTGTGTGCGTGCGTGCGCGCGCGCGTGTGTGTGCGTGCGTGCGTGCGTATGTGTGTGTGTGTGTGTGTGTAGAAAATTCTGTACGTGAAAAAACTCGATGTCGCGTTTGTATAGATGCAATAAACAAAAACCAAGAAATAATTAACTGACATTTATCGGTACTTATATTTTCCTCTACAGAGGCGACGTTAGTCGTATCAGTGCCACCACATCTTCTAGCATTAACAGTTATTTAGAAATTGCAGTGAAGTTCTATATCTTTCGTAAATATTTTCCACTAAAATACACAATTTCTCAATTTTCTCAATTACAGTATTCTTCGATTATGCTTATGGTCGCAGTCACTTCTTTTAATGTTTATTCGAATCATACGAGTACAGCTTTAATTTAGCCTTATTAGTTGTTAAATTAGTTGTTAAATATTTCGAAATTAAACGATAAAATAAAGTCTTGTATTGTTTTAATAAGCACTTTGCTGAAAAGGAGTAAACGTTAGCGGTGACGGTGGCTCATGGGCGAGAGTATTGTACATAGACAAACGCATTCGAGTACATAGATACTGCATGATCTGGTTTCACAAGGTGAACAAGAAGCTTATGAATTTCTAGTTACAACCGATCACTCACTTTTGAGGGATACTGTACGTATGTGACACCACGTGACTCCACTTGCCAGTTGCGTGTTCCACTGTAGCTAAAGACATTAACACGCGTCGAAGCTTTTTAGTGTCCCTTTCTTAACTTACTGTTGAAATATTTTCCAAGCCACGGGCAAGCGCAAGATTTACTTCGTTACTCTGTTGATACAAATCGAGTCACACTCTATATATCAGATGCGACGATCAAATTTCGAAAATAATTCCGATGCTGTTCCGAAGTAGTAAGAAAGTAGGCGGTTACGTTCCGCTGTACAACTTGATCACGTGCAGCTAGCATGTAGCTAATGTGGTATTTTTTGTCATTTTATAAATTTATTTCCCTAAAAAGTTACGTACGTATGTATCTGAAATGAGAAATGACTGAAGTATCATTCCAAATAACGCAACGAAAACGATAGACTTCGTCGAACGAATAGTTTTAACAAATAAACAAAGACAGTAAACTTACACGAAAGAGAAAACGATGTTTCCCCAAAAGAGCAAAAGAATACTTCGGTGTCTTTCATTTCTGTTCGTTACATTTCCTTTTAAATAAAATATTCGTTCTATCACATAATTCTTCAAAGTATATCTGCAATTACATCCCAGTATATCCAATTACCTTATCTCATAGCAAGGCTAGAAGTCAGAAATTATCGATGCCAATAGATCCTCTTACGCGACCAGAAAAATATCTGACGATAAAACGAATGAAATTTAAGAAATAAATTTGACAAATTACGTGTTATGCGATTATCCTATTTGACGTAAGATTGTTAAACTATAAAAAAGAACGTTTAATAAAGCACTTATTTTTCATTTGTTTAGGTAAGAAATAGAAGGAAACTGACAATATGGCAACATAACATATCAACCACTTGCGGTGCTAATCACGGAGGTTTTTATTTTTAATATTTATATTATTCGCTCTTTTCCAAAGATCATTTTAATTTTGATTTTTCCCCTTCCTCTGGGTAACCTCGCCTAACAAAGCTAGCAATTAGAAAGCATATAGCGAATTATTGGGCATGCGTTTCTAATAGTTATCAATAGATAGCGAAAAATATATTCTGGTATCTGCATGACCTCACCTTACGACCAGTGTACCAAGGTTTGAATTATCTAAAAACTTGTTCTTAGCAGAGGGAAATCAATGTGACACGCTGGCTTCGATCTCGATTTAAATAAAAGATTCCTTCATTATCTTTGTTTTTTACCTTCAGTGTAACAGAATTATAGGATATTCAGAACGAATAATTCAGAAAATAGTTAGTTTTCTATTCTAAAAATGATTTAAGCTAACGTTGCTAGTCAAATTTAGACTACAAGTTATTAGCATTGCTAAATTTTCTGGCGTAACAGTAAAACAAGTTTGGCAATTGGCCAAACAAATGGAATTTTACATGTAAATTTTACAAATTACAATTCTCACTTGGCGGTAAATTAAGTTAAAAAATTGTGAAGTTTGTGACCTATGATTTATAACTTGTCAATTGTCACTATCGCTCAAGAGGGTCCTAATATCAGACACAAACATTACAACATTGTAGAAAATCCATAAACGGAAATGTTTTTTGTTCTTACGAATAAGTATAGAACCTGATGTCGTTTTGAATCTGTCGTTACTTCTTAAAATGTGTTTTAGTTAAAAGATTACTAGCAATTTACTAAGGAACATATTAATACAATTCGAAATAATAAATTTCGACACTAGGAGTTCTTTTTGGAAGATTGCCATATAACTTTTGAGTAATCCATTACCTGACGTTCTATCTTTAATAGTTCAAACAGGATTTTTACATTTTTATCTGCCTTTCTGCCCATGACTCATTCTAAGCTGTCCTTCGTGTATTTTATCAATGTAATGTGACATTCGAGCACAAAAGTATCTGAACACTTATTGCACAAAATTTTTACGAATGTATTGTGCGTATTATACAAAAGTTCTTGAAATTTCATTTACATTCTAACGAAACCCGGCATCACGATATATAAAAGTTGCAAGATATTTATTGCAAAACATACACTTACGATTAATGAAAAATTAAAACACGACACAAATAGTAATTTTAAACATTAACAAACTTAAAATTGGTGCTAAAGATAGTTTCGCTGTATATTATTAATACAGCGAATAATCGGTTGTTTAAATATCTCGACGATCTTTGCGAAGTATATGCTTCCAATAAATATCTTCCAATTGCTATACGCATTTTTAGACTTTTCGAATCTGAGCAATACAATTACTACAATCGTATCTCGTTAATGCCAATGAGATTTCATAACGTTCTATACAGATACATCAATGTTATGTGTGTTACGTATAATGTACACGTAAGAAGTTTTCAAAGACATTCGAATAACGATGATAAATAAGCTGTTCAAATTTTCACGAAGAAGCTCCATCATTCATCGCTTTACGCTGAATTTGTGGCTATCGATAAATCAAATAGAAAATAATTCGTCCAAAGACTTCGATGCTGTTCTTTTGCTTCATATTTATTCGTATATAGATCGAGGAATTTAGGTTACTTTTGCACAATGGTATACGAGCTTCTAGCCAATCATGCAATAGCCAATAAATCGACCTTTAAACTGTGAAGTTAAAATGTAAAACGTAGTCCTATCTTTGACAACTTGCTCAGGTCTCGGCATAGCAAATATTTACGTCGTGGTTAAAGGCTAAGTCAAGCATCGAGGTTGAGAGTTGGCATTCGTCATTCGAAGGTTAATGACACGATTTGTAAACGGAAACGATATTCTTTCGGAAAAAAACTATGCGTTACGTAGTCTAGACGTAGAGTAACACATATAAATGTTGAAGTATGAAATGTGCTATGCCTGCGATCTAATTGTGCTTACTTTATTGTTTCAGACTGCCCTTAGTATTTTCTTCCAAGAAGCAGCGATACCTCCATGCGCGCAAGGACCTGGCACACATTTTGGCCAAGTAAGTGCACCGGTTTTTCTATCGAATATCGTTGTTGCATTTATTTATTTCAGCTCGATGACCTAGAAATTGCACCTGGCTTTAGATACATAGAGTTTATGAACGTAAAATATTAACTTACAGATAACTACAGTAACATAAAAACATATCAATTCTCCGGTTATCTCGGCTCTTTATCTCTACATTTCGTTCGTTCATTTATTCGTTGCGTGATTCGTTATCCATCTATTTTTTATTATTCTCTATTTCCCTATAATTGCACTTTTCTCTTTCCTTGCCTTCCACCTCTGCTTCTTTCTGTTTGCGTTTTCCCTCTTTTCCCTACTCTCCTTCTATTTCCTTTCCATTCTCCGCAACCTCTTTCGAAGATTGTTATCAGCACAGTAGAATTCCATTTATCTGAGCTCATCGAGGAACAAACAATTCGTGTAACTGGAGCTCTCGTAACAGGGATCTATTGATTCCGCTCACGACCTGTGATTTTTCGTTCGTACGAGGTTGGGTCGGAAATCGTAGTGCAACCGATGATCCGACGCGGAAAAATAACTCGGAAATATGTAATCAAACTTTTTCGTATGACACTTCGATTCTGAGAAAAACGAACTTGAGAATTTGCCGAGTATACTTTAACTTGGCCAAGTACCGATTAGGTATCAGCAGACGATCGGCATGAGATTATCGTACACGTGAAAATAGGTCAAAAATGTTAAACTGTGTTTTCTCTTTTAACGCCTCATTTTCAAGAAAATAAAGTTCCAACATGTTTAACTACCAACTGGCCTGATACACGCGCATGATACATCCTCAAATTTATTTTTGAAAATTGAAAAATCTTCTTACGAGAGAATTTCGCAATTTATAATTAGACTATGCTTGTACATTTTTGGGAAACGTAGGATTCGAACAATCTACAGAGTGCGTACAACGTGCAAAGATATAAACGATATTTAAAGTAGAACAGTTACTACGATATTTAATAGACGAAACAAATTTCCATTTGGATCTCATTTCTTTAATTACATTCATAAAAACATAAAATTGCATGAACATCCGCGCTTTATTTATAGCCTCTAATACATTTCTGGCGTAAATGTATTTATTTACCTATTTATTGTCGCATCGATTAACCGTCATTATCGATCACGATTAAAATGAATTACATAAGTCATAAGTTAACACAGTCGTTACATGTACTCATTATATAATATCTTTTATCTATGTGTGTGTATCAATATGTGTATCAATAAAATACATAATAAAAATAACGTCACTAGTTATTGCATAGTTATTACACTACATGATACAACAATTATACAGTTAACGTGGATTGTTGATATCGTTTAACAGGACATAAGATCTTTTGTTTCACGAGATTACGTTCATCTAACGAACAATCCAATATTTCTGATATCAAATGAAATCTATCGAAAGACTCGACTCGCCTTTGGTCATTCTCCGTGTTTTTGTCGTGTACCGACATCTAATCGATACGAAACTATATTTCCGCGTGAAAAGCGTCATCGTGTTCGTACTCGTTGGCGGCGGCGATCGCATCGGCTACGTTCCGTCTCTTTCTCCCTTTCCACTCGATTCTCTTTTATTTATGTCACGTGCAACGATCCACGACGTATCACGCGAATGATTTTATTCATTAGGTTCGTTGCGCGAATCGCGACGAGATCACGCGCAAGAAATGACATTTTTTCGTTGCTTTTCGTTCGCGCGATATCGTTTCGTCTCGATCGCTTGGTAAACGGCCATGCATCTCGAAATGTTAGCCATTTGTTTGTTGCTTTTCGTTGCACGCCCAGAATGCCAATCTTTTATATATATTTCAATATTTTCTCCTATTTTCATTTACCTCGCTGCTCTTTTGGGCGCGGTTATGAATCGCTGTTTGCTTTGCACCAGTCCAAGTACATAATCGGAAAATGTATCGAACATCTGCATCATGCTATAGATAGATACCAGTTGGTAAATTGTCGGCTACTTTTATTGATTTCCAATAATACGTCGATGGCTTGCTGCAACAAATATCCTATGTCCATTTTTAGCGTTCCCGAGAGAAACGGTTTTAAAAATTGAATGGTACTTGATAATTCGATAAATACGTTTCGCATTTAGCTTTATCGGTGTTGGTACAAAATCGTTTGCAAATTGCGCACTGATCCTTTTTAGGAAATTAAAAACGACAAAGATGGATTCTCGTTTCTTAATTTTTTTTTTTATTTTCTCCTCGAAGTTATTTTTATAAAAGCTCTTGGATCGTTTATTAATTATTAAACTGTGGATATTTGTGCGTTTATGGGGAATTAAAAACAAGCAGAACATACATGGGGTGTATGCAAACAAGTCGCAATTTACATTTCATTATCTATGTTTATAAATAATCAGATATTTTCGTTCCCTATCAGGTTTAAAAAGAAGTATGACAATAGGATTTTCTGATGATTTAAATTAGATATATAAGGTGGCTCAATTTTGACATTCTACGAGTAAAAATAAGAAAAGAATCATCATACCAACGAGCATATAAATGTTTTACTAACAGCTATAAAACGTTTGTAAATACAATACAGAACTGATGATGAAATAACGAACTGATTTTTCGCTATATGAAGCATGGAAATAGGTTAATGATATTTACAGCAGGTTTATCTCATGAGTGTACTACAAATGCTTTATTATCAACTCTTCCATACAATTTTCAAATTTTTATATTTTAATCTTACTCCGATTCTAACAATCAAGGACAAATTTTGAACATTTTAAGAAAACGTTTCTCGGAAAACTGAAACTTTCTCATATCTTGTACAAACTGTGATGGCATTTTTCACGTTGTTAAAATATAATTGGTCGAGAAAGATGGGAAGAACATAGCGGGGTTAAGACCTGAAGTATATTAATTCTTGCCTCGCAAAATTTTTTCCCTCGGAGTTTCCCATGAATAAAAATGACGTGATGTGGCGTGATGTCTGGCGATCGCGGGGGCCAAGGAATCGATCCTCTTCAAGCTGTCCATCATTGAGGTTAATGTTCGTTTAACCATTCTATCAAACAGCACAACCAAACTTATTATTATTCTTGCTTCTCGGTATTATTCAATTATTTCGTATTTTCGTATTAATTTTTTAACCAAGCGTTCACGCGAGCCTCTGTTCGTACGATATTATTTTTCGCAATTTACTCGTAGAATGTGTTGGCCACGTTTTATCTGCTTTTTATTATATTACTAGGTTTGAGTTTTTTCCATGTACCGCCAAAGTTATTTTGACTCGTTCGGTTAATCGTATCTGATTTTGCATTGCGTAAAGTTTATGTAAGGCGTACATATACTTCTTGCTCTCTATTTTATATGGAGTTTTGCTTTATAGCGTTGTAAAGAGGAAATGTTATAGATAGAAGAAGCAATAAACTGCTACTTGAATGTTGGAAATTACGCTCAATCCATTAACGCGTTGATTACTACGCGAATTTTATATATTTTCACTTAGAAGCTGTAATCGTTAATAGAAAAGGTTGAAAAAAATATGTATATCAGATCATAACACTTAATTTTTGCGAGGTATTATACTGTATTATTATTTATTGGTAGCTCGTTTTTCCTTTCAGACGTCGAGAACCTTTGAGTTTTACATCCTCAAGTCTACTTTTCCCTAATAAATAGTTGCAGCTACGTATATATTAAAGTTGCAATAAGATGAACAAGATATTGATGTTAATATGTTCAAATTAATAGCATCATTTTATGCATATCGATACTTTTATAAATTTCATACAAAATAAATATATTACATTGAGTTTGCGCACTTTTTCTCATATTCATATAAATTATATTATATACATAATTAATTATATACATTGTTGAAATTAACGCAACATTGGCTCTTAATGTTAACGAATAACGTATAACGTACTGTTGTACGTTATATACATTGTTATATTGTTATATACAATGTAACTTAATGCATTACTTAATGCTTCTTTTTTTATTGTTACGAAAAATTGTTCATTTCACAATGAACGGATATCTGATTTTTATGCAAATTCATATGTACACGAATAGAGCTATAAATATGATATAATTTAGAAATGGATATAACGTACAAGTATAATTTTAAAAGTGGAATCTGGATAGGCAGTTGTCTTATTTACTAAATATTATAGCGAGTAACTGTATTTTACATTTATTTATACGTTCCTGCGCGTTACGCGTATTCTGTGTATTGTCGTGTCCTCAAATTTCCTCTAAATGCATAAAAATTCGGAGTCTAAAAATAAGTATAGCCGCAGTAGATGTACGTAGATTATTAATTGATTTACCGCTATCTTTACAAGACACCTTCTAATCAGTGATTTCATACACGGCTTATGCACGACGATGGTTTAGTACGTTTTTGTGCATCGTCACGTAATGCGGGGGAAGTGCGCAACATTCGACTCATCGATTTGGCTCAAACTTTGCGCACGTTGTACGTCCTGTATAATAATGCGTTAAATTGGCGACAGATATTATTAAACATTAAACGATTCTCAGAAGTATCGTATTGCACGAGACGATCAAATAGAACGAATATTTATTTCAAGATAAAAATCAGTCACTTCTTCTTGACGACTGTTTTTCGTTTATTTTTATAAATATTCTATTCATATTAATTTTATTAATTAATTGTAAATATATCTGTAATATAAGTCTATAATTTAATATTTGGTTTCCTCAGATACAGAACAGAATTTTTTTTTTAGAAAAACGAACGATATCGCTTATTAGTCGATTAAAATGTGAGGTTTATTTTCTCTGACATCCGCCAACTTTGAGCACATGTTTTTTCCAACTTTAGCAAACTTGAATCTCATTTAAATAAGTAGCAGTTTTATTTATTGCTTGCCTTCCGCCATTGCAACGTGTTTTATATACGTCGTACGAATCTCATTTGTCTACGAAATTTATTTGTACAACGTAATTTATTTATCTTAAACTTAGAATAAATATTGTAACA